AAAAATATTTTCCATTTTAATAACTTCAAAGAATCATTTTGTTTCTCAAATTTTGAATTCTCAAAAACCTATTTTTTTGCATAGTTCATATATATGTGTGTCCGTGTATTTGTATAATTTTTTTACATAAATATATCCTGATTTTCTAAAAAGTCTCAAATTATCACTACCTCTCTCTGATGATGCGACGTCGACAACACCGACGACACACTCAGTCCTCTGGGCAAGTTTCCGTTCGCTAACTTCGGCGTTTGCTGCAACTCCCTCGCGGCAGATCTCTCATTGTCCGCTGCATTTCTTTGGGAATTCGATTCATTCCCATTTCCTCTACTGGTGGTCGAGGAATTGACCAATCGTTCGACTGTTCCGTTGGCCGATAAGGAACTTCCGCTTCCTGTGACTGCTGCGGACGAGGAAACAGGTACTGCGGGCGCCGTACTTGACGCGGACGCGGAAGCAGATGCCGCGCTGATTGCGGCAGCAGATATCGCCAGCGGTCGCAGGGGCCGCTGCGATACGGTGGCGGTCGGCGTTGACGCTGTCGCGCCTAGAAAATTAACAGAAAATATAATAATTATAATACAGTATTATATGAATAACATTATTATTATGTACACCGATTTCATTTGAAATTAAAAAGTTTAACATAATATTAAAGGAGAAATTTTAAATCATAACATTTGTATAAGAAGATCTATAAGTGTACATTAATTTTAATCTGATTTCACAGATCATTAGGTAAATATTTGGAAATTGTGTTTTAGATATAAATATTAAAAATTTCAAAATACTTTAAGCAATTTTTTAGAATATATTAGTCGAGCATTGACTAGTTTTGTGTGAAGAGCAGGCAATTGTTTTTTAAAGCAGCATTTTTTAGTAGACATTATTTTTGTGATCATTATAATTCATTAAGCTCCCGTAAGATAAGTTATAACTAGTTGGTATTGGCATTTTGCCTTGAGGCAAGTTACATGAACTTCCCCATATTTTTAAATAATCGACTTAATGAATGAAAAATATATTAATTTATGAGTGATTTAAAGTATTCCGAGTGAATTTAGTACACATAATAATAGCAAAATTATTGAAAACGAACGAACACGTTAACTCGGTGTATTTTCTAAAAGCAAATTTTCACAAATCAATAATTTTTATAATTGAACCAGTTTCCGTAGGACTTTAACGGTTTAGTATGTTCATTAAGACCAAGTACTCTATCGTTATACCAAGTAAATCATCTAATTTTAATTTTTAACAAACGTCAAAAAAAACTATTCATTTTCTCAAACTTTGATGAATTTTTAAAACTAAACTACTTGTCGAAAGGGCGTAATATTTCAGTAAGTTCTATAAGTCCAGGATATATATCGCTAAAAAAAATCCAGAAAAATCGGCTTAAATTTTTTTTTCAACAGTTAATTACAAAAAAACGGCTCGGTAGATTTTCACCTAAAACTAATCAGTATTATTCCCAACTAAAATCTTTCGAACAGTTTTTGATTTTTTAAAATCGGTTCGGTAGGATGAGCTTAAATGTGGACGAAAAGTTTAACACTTTTTTTCAAATTACTAAGAAACGGCTTGGCAGATCGTCGCACAAAACTGACACACGATAGTGCTCATTTTACCTTTTAAATTTATGAAATCGGTTCAGACGTTTTTGAGAAAAAGTCGATGAATAGGTCTAATTTTGACAAATGCCAAAAAAAACATACCAATTTTTGCAAACTTTGACGAATTCTCAAAGTTAAACCAATTGTCGTAGGACCGTAATATTTTAGTATGATCTAGAAGACTATAGTATCTACCGTCAAAAAAATAATAATGAAAATCGTCGAAAAAAAATTCCGGCCGATCTTTACCAAAAATTAATCAGCACGATTTGCAATCAATATCTTTCGAACGGTTTTTGAATTTTCATAATCGGTTCAGAATTGCGGGCTAAAACGTAGACGAAAAATTTTTCACTTTTCTGCATTCTGCTATTTATAAAGAAACGTCTCGGTCGATCGTCCCACAAAACTGACAAACGATAGTCCTCGTCGAGATACATCGATGGCTTTTAAATTTTTCAAATTGGCCCAGCCGTTTTCGAGAAAACGTCGATTTACGGCAAAAAATCTGTTCACACACACACACACATACTTTTTCCAAATTTGGTCTCATTCGATTCAGAATGGCTTGAAACGTCGAGAAAACATAAAATTAGCGAATCGGATTTTTTGATGAAAACATAAACTTCTTCTTCGGGAAGTTAATAAAAAACGACTTTGCTCTTTCAAATCTAGCTTAATATTATTCCTAGAACACTTTATAAAACAATGATGTATTAAGATTTTTATTGGCATTATGTTGTCCATTACATTATTTTCGTTAAAATGTATATTTTTTTTAGATATTTGCAAAATAACGAAAGACAACGCCAAAAAGATATGAATTTTTAGTAGCCAGTAAGTAACTTGAAAAGAATTATTTTTTTTGAAAAACTTTAAAAGACAATTTCTTCCTTTAATTAGTTCTATTGATATCCGGCATTATTTTGAAAAAATAAAATTACACAACTGAGACGGCGTGTCACTCCCTGGAGGAGTGTGTGGAGTCCAAATTGTTTTCACTTTGGAATTTGAGGGTAAGATGAACCTAATTCCTAAATTTCATGAAAATCGGAGCTCGGTAAAAAAAATTCAGACCCAAAACGCTCCATTGACTGGAGTAATTATCAATTTCAAAATACTTTAATCAATTTTTTTTTAAATATATTAGCCGAGCATTGATTAGTTTTGTGTGAAGAGCCGACTAGTTGTATTTTGAAGCAAATTCCAAAATAGTTCAGTACCCATCATTTTTGTGATCATTATAATATAAAATGTTAAAATATTTTGGCATATCTAAGAGAAAATTGATGTATATGTATGTGTATGTATTTTTGGATACAATTTTTGTCAAGGAATTTGGGGCGCACGGATCGACCGATTTGAATGATTCAAAAAGTATTCATTTTCTCGAATCGGAAGACGTGCTGATTAGTTTTTGGCAAAGGCGGGTCCAAACGTTTCTAAGATAAGAGGCAAAAAGTTCAAAAAATAGAATGCAATTTTTGAGGAAAACGGATTTGAATGATTCAATGAACATTTTACTTGAATTGGAGGAATGAAAAATTACAATGTTTGATTACAATCTTAGGAAGGCACTTTGTGCGGTTTCGGATATATAGAGGAAAAAGTTAAAAAAAATGATATTTCCGATAAATAACGATTAATAGTTTAATGTTCCTTTGAATCAAGAACCAAATTTAATTTTTAAGATACGGCCCGACCGATTTTTACCAAAAACGAGCGAGTACGATTCTTTTCTAAATTTAGAAAAAATTAAAGATGTTTTGAGAAAATGTGGACAAAAAATTGCACTTTCCTACTTTACATTTACATCAAATGCTTTTAATCTTTTTAAATCGGTTAGCCGTTTTTGAGAAGACATCGACGACAGGTTAAAGCTCGGCTCGCACACACACATATTTTTTCAGATTTTTCATACGATTCAGAATGACTTGAATCATCTAGAAAACATTTGGAAGCAAAACATAAACTTTATCGGATAGTTAATGAAAAAAATTATAAAGATGAAAACACCATAAGACTCTAAAGAAACTTCTTCGCACCTAATCCCAGGTTATTCAGGTTTAATTACCAAATATCTTTAAACAAACGTTTTATTAGCAATTTATAGTATCTAGAATATGTATTAACACTATTCCTACCGACATTTCATGTTTGCTATTCCTACCGCGACCGGTCAAATGACCGGTCATGCAAAATCGGTATTTTTCAGTATTGAATGAAGAGTTAATGCTAATTTAAGAGTTTATAAATACAAATACAATATTGTTCTTTTATTTTAGAATGCGAAATCTACATTTTATACTGTTTTATCCAATTTTTCACGATTTTTTTTCTTAGAGTGTATTTTCTGCACACGCATTTTTTACGTTTTTGGCTGATTTTGTTTGCCCTATCATCTTTCTAAAGCATTATCTGGAATATTTTCTTTTAGGGAATCTGTTTTGTACTTGTACTTAGTTGATTTTTTTCTGAATTCTTGTTGCAACTATACGGCAAGTTTTTTGGAATAGAAAGATCCAGCCTTGTACATTGTCTTCCCGTAATTTGTTTATGTGACAACAGTGGATTTATCTTGAATAAATCCAAAATAATATAAATCCTTGATGAATTCTCTCTAAAATTCATATTTTACCGAATGATTTCTGACTGTTTTATGAATGACATCTACACCAGTCCCGACGCTAATACCAATTGAATTAACTCTCGTATTAGTGTAATTTTTTCAACATATGTGTATGTAAGTGAAAATTAGAATCTTCTTTCTTATCTTTCAAAATTGTAAATATTATTTGAGTGTTGAAGTCCTTGATTTTTAGTCCTGCCAGTATTTATAGCAGTTATATTGCTTCAATCGTACCTACGATCAGTTTTTTTTACTAAAAGTTTAGCTATATGTAGGATGGTAAAAACGTATATTTTTTACGTCGTACTAGCGATTTTGATAATACGGTTTCATCAATTATAAATTTTCAAAAAAATTCTCAGTTTGCTACGTATACTTGATGGTTACCAAAATTTTACCCCCCATTTGTGCGATTTGCTGGGCATAATTATATTTACATCGTATATTGAATAGTTACTAATACGTTTTCCTGTATACTATTGAACATGTGTTGAACAAATTTACACCTTACCTTTATTGAAAATATATGTTCGTCGATAGTAATACGTGGACTTTTACAACAATTTTGATTGCTGTCAATGTAGTTGAACCAACCTTTGGATTCAAAACAAAACCTATCAATTTGTTGTTTGGATTCCTTCGTAAAAATTTGTCTACACATAGACATTGAGCAAAAATGAGAAAACCCACTTTTATACCGTAGAAATGCAATATTTATACTCCTTGTCTCATTTGCGCAGCGTGCATACAGAATCGAAAAAAATGCATGTAAATTTGCAGACGGCATTTTTTACCAGTCTAAATTCTTCTGAATTTACATTTTCTTGTAAGTTCGATCATATTCTTGACAATTACTATAAAAAAACCCGTCCGAACATCGTCTTTCGTACTACCGGTCGAATGACCGGTCGCGGTAGGTAAGACAGTATACAATTTTTTTTCCAAAAATAAAAATTGAAAAAATAAATTAACATTGAAAAACGTATCATACTAACATATTAGGAAAAGTCATAAAGTTTGATGACGATTCAATTACGTTTGATATGAAAAATACTAATCGAAAAATCAAAAACGGTCATTTGACCGGTCGCGGTAGGAATAGTGTTAAATCAAATTATGTAAAAAATTTGTCTTATTTTATTTAACAGCAATCAGAATTTGATGAGTCCTACGATAGTTATAGATAGCAACCGAAACTTTTATTCTATCTCTATATGGTAAATTTGTTGCTGAAATTTCTCTAATACTGATGACTTTTATTCATGCCAGATGAAGGCTATTTTTAGTTGGATACATATTCCTATCTATATTTTCAATAAAACACAATTTCACCACTGCTTGATATTAGGTTGTCCGAGACTGATATCGAACTTAGAACCTCTAAATGGATTCCATAGATCTAACAACAATGTCTAATAAAATAATAATAATAAATATTAAATATTTTCTCACCTGCAAGTGTAGGTGCAGTGTGCTTCAACATATCACCTGCCCCGCCGCTTCATGTCGAATTTTTGTTTGTTCGCTTCTTTATATAAACTCAAATTCTATTTTTCCGTTTTGCGATATTATATAAATATTCATCATTCCAGAAATGTATTAGCACAATTTAAAAATGACACTAATAGTCTTCTCCATATTTATATTTATAGAGTTTATATTTTCTAGCTATTATTAGCTATGGCGCCGGTTTTATAGTATTTTGTGTAATAAATCCATTTATTTCGTGGCAGTCCAGTAAGGAATTGTGAAACCAGCGGGCATCTGGAAAGAACGAAATATAAACAATTATTGTTATTGTAAAATTATGTAAACTATAAACTAGATTACGATACGGAGTAAAGATTAAAATACTCTCACATGTACATTGATTTTCACACAACTATTGAGATTGTTTTCATATGAATTACAATATATTATTTTTATACGGAAAATAGATATAAACTTTTATAGAGATCAGAACTACATGTTCTATGAGAGGGCAACCCAGCGGTCAACCACTCTTCATTTATATAGCATTTTTTATTCATTTTAATATTCCTATCACCTTTTAATGCTTTCCGATTGGAAAAAATCTAATTTCCTAATTTTGTTTTCTTGACCTATTTCAAAAATTCAGAAACTATTCGATGTTACTCGATAAGGACTAGCGTTTATCAGTTTTGTGCGACGATTGGCCGAGCAGTTTCTTTGTAATTAGCAGAAAAGTTTTAGCCTACAATTTTGCACCAATTTTAAAATTTAAAGACTAACCGCGTTGATTAAATTTTTTGGTAAAGATCGGCCGGGCCGTTTCTTCGTAATTAATTGTTCTTTGTTTGACAATAAATTTGGTAGTCTGAAATAACATACTAAAATATTATAGGTCTACGATAAGCGGTTGAATTATAAAAAATCATAAAAGTTTAGAATTTCGCCCCGCGTTTAAGCGATTCTAATTAGAATATAAGCCAAATGATATGCACGTTCTATAGTGTTTCGTTGATAGCTACTGATTACAGTTTACATTCACACTTATATAAAATACATTTTTGGAACCCGAAATATGAAATGAAATTTGTTAAATAAATTGATTAGTATAATTACAGATATTATAAGTATGATTGAAAGATATTAGAAATGTGATTATTTTTTAGTGAAAGCAAAAATTTTATTTTTTACACAAAAATTGAATATGTTATCTAAATAGCTTCTATCTCAATTCTTATTGAGTTAATTCATTATTTGTAAATATTGGGAAGTTCATGCCTTAAAGCAAAATGCCGCTTTCAACTAGTTTATAATATATTTATTATATTTTTTTTATTCATACAACAATTGACAAAACTCTATAAATTGAAGGGCTAAATTACACATAAAAAATAATAATAATAATTACATAAAGAAATAAAGAAAAAGAAAAAAATATAATAATAAATAAGCAAAAATAAAAATGAATTACAAATAAAGAAAAATAAATAAATAAAAAATTTAAAACAAAAACAAATTCTAGTAATTGCTCCAATAAGCAATTGACTAAATAAAACATTTATTATAATTAAAACTAGTATGAGTATGACGTTGTGCCAAATTACTAATACTCTACTCATAAAATAATTCTATTATGAATATTCGATATAAATATTTGTCTGTGTTCGTATAGAGAGATATGAATCGTGAACAGAAGTCAGTAATCTCTGTTTTATTCCTAGGTAATGCCGGTCGGATAAGAATCTAATCCGAAACTTTCTCTTTGCTCGTAGTACAAACTAAACTTTATTATTCATTGATAGCGTACCCGGTGCACTTCGTCTAGTACAGGGGTTGACAACATTTTAAACGGATTTATATTCGAATTGAGTTATTATTCTTTTCTCCATTATTTATTATTTCAGGTTTTTTCTAATTGATTCAATCTCACGTTTTATAGATGCTAGTCCTATATATTAATTTCTCTTCTGTTTTATTTATTTTTTGTCAAAAATATATATTAGTAGTTTGTTAGGAACAAACTAGTGGTGCATGGCATCGTGCCTTAATGCAAATTGCTGGAGCTTCCAGTACCAAAAACTAAATTAATAAAAAAAACTTTGCCAAACTTTGAAAAAAATAAATTCTTGGAAAATTTTACCAAAAATGGTAATTCAGTTTTTGAGAAAACGGAGCGTCCGATTTGAATTATTTAAAAAAACATTTCATTTGTATTGATGAAACAAAGAACTATTGAAGCTTATGGGAAGGCTGGTACAGCGGTTTCGGAGATCCAATAAAAAAAAGTAAAAAAAATGCTATTTGGTGGTCAAAAATAATCATTAAACTTATGCACATCAAATTAGCAGATATTTTGTAGAAATTTTAATAATATGTACACATTTTGTGTCAATTTTTTTTTTGGTTTCATACCAAGATTTTTAATTTTAAAGTTCACTTATGTGGTTCTAACAAATGTCGACATTTTCGACAATATGGAATAACTGATTTAAATAATTCAAAAAACATTCGGTTCGTAATGACTGCGCGACGTTTTTACCAAAGGCACGTCTAGCCGTTTCGGAGGTATGAAGCGCAAAAATTGTCATGCAATTTTTGAGAATATAGTCCATCCGATTAGAATAATTCGAAGAACATTTTGTTTGTGTAGAAGGTGTGAAAAAATGATTTTTACACAAAATTTCGTAATTTTCGAAATTAAAAAAAAACATAGTTTAAAAAAATTCAAATTTTCAAACTTTTGCACAATTTTCAAAAAAAGCTAAATTTTGAAAATTTTTAAAAAATATCAACATTTTTTGAAAAATCCATTTTTACAAAAATTCCAGAATATTTTTAAATTTTCAAAAATATCAAAATTTTCAATAAAATCGAATGTTTTGAAAAATTTCTAAATTCTCAAAAAATTAACAAAAAACATTTTTTTCTCAGAAACTCCAAAAAAATTTTAACATTTAAAAAATTTACTAAATATTAAAAAAAAAATCAAAATAATAAAATTTTTTGTACATTTGAAAATTTTCAAAAAAAACAAATTTTTTGTAAACTTCGTCGCCCAATTTAACAAGCGCTTATAAATTTACAGTATGCATTTATAATAAATATTCCATTTGAAAATATTTAAAACAATTGTTATTAATTGATGAATGATTTTAATTTCTTGTAGGAAAGTTCCAGCAACTGGAAATAAATGTTCGTTTAAATACCATAGGAATCTGACACTTTCGTATCTACTAATGTATCGAGAACATCGAGAAAACAAGTTTTGTCAAAACAAATTGGCTGCATCGAGAACACAATATCTTCAACAAAATTCTGATTTAAAACATGTGTTACTACAGTAGATTGATAATATAACATAGCTATATTAACCGAGAATGCGCTTCTATTTATTTACACCAAATAGAAAAATGTTGTCGACCCCCGTATTAGTGCACAATGCCGTGCGTGGATTCCCATCAGATACCAAGAGCAAGTCGGATGGATTCTCATGCGGGCATTCCTTCGCTATGGATGAATTTTATCAGATCACGCGTGGAACCGTCCGTTATATGAGGATTTCAGTTTTTTAATGGCCTCGCTCGGTTATAATGACCATTGAATAACATGCAAAATATGTTATTCGATCTAGATAGCGATGAAGAAGGAAGAGTTAGACAAATGCATAAGCCGGCCACGGAATGGTAGTCACATAAGTCAATGTTTCGACGTTTGTGAATACAAGTGAATAATGGAAATGTCTATTCACTGTATACATATACGGTGTCCCAGAGCTCAAAGTCGAGAGAAACGGGGTGAAGTATTGACTTGCCTGTTCTGGAAAAATTTAGAATTAAATTAAATTAAATTATCTCAAGTTGTTTAGAAATTATGAGCTTTTAAGTGCAACTTAGAGCTTTTTGTGAAAGTATGACCATTTTTTATTATTGTGGTTAATTTTTATTAACTTTTTTTTCATTTGAGCTTTCGAACCGTAACCATATTCAGAACCAATATTATTAACTTAAAATTAATGAATGAATTTCAATATTATTAACACAATTGAACCAAGTTTGCCAAAATTAAGGCTGGTTATTGAACTATGAATTTATTTTTTTATTTAAATAGATCGACTTTGAAAGTCCCTTCTTTAAAAAAATGTACTAAAGTATGTTTGCAAGCTTCATCAAGTTGGCGCATTTAATCAAGATTGTAAAATACTTGATCATTTTATAAAATTTGTAAAAAGTTTGTTTCGTTTTCCGCAATAGATCGCAGCGACACCGGTGAAATCTCGTTAGAAAGGTGAGACTTCGAGCATTACTTTTATGGTATAATCAAAAATATTGGCCAAGTGGTATTTGTGTTTGAAAATGGAGAAAACTAATGAAAAAATCGCTATATTTTGCAATATTATTTTAATAGAGGGAAGAATGCTGCGCAGGCTTGCGAATAAATTTATGCTGTATAATTCTGGTTCTCTATAGTTCTGGTAATTTTGATGTGAAATATGTGCCACGCTCCGCTCGTTGAATCACTGAAAAGGTGATAAAATTCTTAAAAAGGCAGAGCAAGATAAGTAAATCAGTTCTGTCGAACATTAGGAAGGAACTAGCCATTGATCAGAACACTGTTTTGAACCAATTACATAAAGCTAAGTTCAAAAAGAACGTCTGCGATACGCTGCTGAAATGCAATGAAATCGAACCATTTTTGAAACTTTTCATAACTTCTAAGAAAAAGTAGATTATATAAGACAATCGGAGGCGAAATAAATCATAGTTGAGTGATGGTGAGCTAAGACAAACATTTACAAGTCAAGAATGGTCATTGAAAAAGATGATGCTGTGTTTGTGGTGGGACTGGAAGGTAATCGTCAATCGTGAGCTACTTCCAGTTGGTCAGACAATCCTACTGTAAAAAGATATTAAGATTATGCCAAACAATTGTAAGAAAACGGTCTCGATTGAAGACATTGTCTTCCATCATGACAAAGCCCGACTATACACTTATTTGATGTCCTTGCCAAAAGTTGCGAAAGCTTAGTTGAGAATTTTTTATGCATCCGCCGTATACTCCAGAC